AAAAAACAAACAAAAAACAAACAACAACAACAACAACAACAAAAAACAAATGGGATTCCATCAAACTGAAAAGCTTCTGCATGGCTAAAGGAAACATCAGCAAAATGAAAAAGGAACCGACTGTATGGGAGAACATATTTGCCAATGATATATTGGAAAAGGGTTTTATCTCCAAAATATATAAAAAGCTAATACAACTCAACACCAGGAAGACAATCCAATTAATAAAGGGGCATAGGATCTGAATAGACACTTCTCCAAAGAGGACATACAGATGACCCATAAGCATATGAAAAAAATATTCAACATCACCAGCTATATGAGAGATGCATATTAAAACCATAATGAAATACCACCTCACACCTGTCAGAATGGCCATCTTTAATATATCAACAAACAATAGGTGCTGGTGAGGATGCAGAGAAAAGGGTTTCCCACTGTTGGTGGGAATGCAGATTGGTGCAGCCACTGTGGAAAACAGTGTGGAATTAAAAAAAAAAACAACTAAAATGGAACTGTCTTTTGGTCCAGTGATTCCGCTGCTGGGAAAATACCCTAAGAATCCCGAATCCTGAATTCAAAACAACTTTTGCACCCCTATGTTCATAGCAGTGCCATTTACAGTAGCCAAGTGCTGGAAACAGCCTAAGTGCCCATCAGTAAATGAGAGGATCAAAAAACTGTGATACATTTATACAATGGAATATCACCCAGCAGAAAGAAAGAAGGAACTCCTAACTTTTGAGATAGTGTAGATGAAACTGGAGAGTATTATGCTAAGTGAAATAAGCCAGGCAGTGAAAGACAAATACCATATGATCTCACCTATAAGAAGAATCTACAGAACAAAATGACAAAACCATACTCATTTATCTTTTGCTCTGAAAATTAAAGTAACTTTCAATCAATAGAAGAGTAAAAATTAAAAAACAAAGAAACCAACAAAAAACTGGTGCCTTAAATTTCATATTTAAAGACTTGGAAAAAAAGATGAACTAAAAGCAATCAAACAAACAAAAACCCAAATAAATGGAAGCACATAATAAAAAGTAGAGTATAACCCAATAATACAAAGGTGAAAAACAATATAGAAAACCTATAAGTGGAACCTAATAATCAAAACAAACAAATGAGCAAAATAGAAAATTTAACAAAAGTGGAAAAGTAGTTAATACAAAAATTACAAAACATGATGTTTATTCTGGTGTAAGGCAGACACATTATATCAATGTAATAACACTGATAATTAGAAAATGAACAAATTAGCCTTGGCTGGCCGTAGCTCAGTGGATTGACCGCGGGCTGTGAACGAAAGTGTCACAGGTTCAATTCCCAGTCAGGGTACATGCCTGGGTTGCAGGCCATAACCCCCAGCAACCTCACATTGATGTTTCTCTCTCTCTCTCTATCTCCCTCCCTTCCTTCTCTAAAAACAAATAAATAAAAATTTTTTAAAAAATTAACAAATTAATGGTTGATTGATTTTTGATAAACCTACCAAGACTACTCATTCAGAAAGGACAATCTTTTCAATAAATGGTAAAGAGTAATTGACTATTCATATGCAAAAACACGAGCTGAAATCTACACTTCACACCATATATGAACATTGACTCAAAATGAATCATGGACAAAAATTTAAGAACCACAGGTACAAGTGTATATCTGATGAAAGGTTTATACCCATAATATTAAAGAATAGTTAAATTAGAGCATAGGAAGTCAAATAGGCAAAATATTTGCATAAACATTTCACCAATGAAGAATGATTTTAACATGCCTCAATTGCGAAAAATAATAATTAAAGACAGCCTTCAAAACACCAATATTTCAAGTTATTCCTATTTTGACCCACAGTTTTCTACTCCTGGAGGTAACACATGACATATGATCTGGTGAAATCTTTTTTCTTTTTTTAGCTGTGAAAGGTGATGTGGGAATGGAGAAGGTTCCTCAGCCTTGGGTGCTGTCTCTGACACATCTAGTTTAGGAAGATATTATATGGTATTTTATCAGACGAGATTGGGCACATTCAGGGTGGTATGGCCGTAGACTATATGGTATTTTAGAGTATAAAAATTGATTTACTTGAAATTATTGATTAATCATCATATACACCTTGTGAAGTTTATGTGTATACTCAGTGATATACAGGCTAATTGAACACTGTAACCTACATTGACATTAGCCAGAAGAAGAAGAGCACATGTGGAACAGATCATTGAAGGGGCCCCATTTGATGTCTTCTGGCATTGGGCATGCATAAGGAAAACTCGGCCTCAGTACTGGGCCCATCTGTTCTCTGCCCCCTGAAGCCACAAGGGTGGGAAAAACCGAAGAGCATCATGGGGCCTTTTCCTGCTATTGATTTTGGCTTTATCCAAGTTACAACTCAGTGCTTGTGATACCTTCATCTCCTTTGTAATACAGACCTTGGAACAGGAGTAGTGTTGTATAATATTCAAAATAGGCTCTAGTACATAACAAAGGCCCAAGAAGTGTGAGCTAATTGTAGTTTTCTGACCAGTAGTTTCTCTCCTTCTTAGTATTTGAAGAGATTCTGGTGCAGCTTTATTCACTGTACTTGCTAGAATTTAGGGGGTTCTGTAATATATGAGAATGGGGAAAATAATAAGATGGGGAGGGATAAAAAATGGTATAGGAAACAGAGGACTCAAAGAACATGTATGTACAACCCATGGACATGAACTAAAGGGAAGGTAATGCTGGAGGGTTGGGGGAGCAGGGTGGAGAGGGGATAAAGGGGAAAAAATTGGAAAAACCAATAGCATAATCAATAAAAATACTTTAAAAAAGAAAAGAAATATTTATGTTATTTTATCATGGCAATGTGATCTGTGGCCCACATATATGACACTAAGATGGAATTTCATTTAGCGTCATGAAATCTGGATGAAGACATGTTGATTTTAAACAATTGTTTCAAACATTAGGGCATTTAAAAAATTCTTGATGCTATTCCATAGAGATTAATTATGTGTCCTATGCCTCATGTAGAGTTAGTTGAAATTTAACTTGTTTCTACAGCATTAAAGATTAACACTTGATTAGGAACTTAAGGGACCCTTTCCCTGGGGGTTAAAATTACAGTATAAATCTCCAGCTGTGCAGCCTAGTGTCTTCAGTACCCAGGAGGAAATGCCTGTCACTCAGGTTAGTTAGCTAAAAGTAGGCTCTGGTTACTTGAAAATTAAAATGGGTGTATTTCCCAGAAAACAATTATTTTAGAGATATAGCTAACTCATCTGGCTTGTAATTAGAGAATGATTTAACAGACCATATTCCTGTGCACTTACTGTTTTAAATGTTTTTGTCTTTTTCTACTGAGAGACAGTTGGTGGTGAAATTAGAACAGTTTCCTCTTGAACACCAAGCATTGATGTGTTCTCCACATCAATTTCTGTTATGCAATCTGGATTTTATATGCATAAAAGAGCACTCTAGTTTTCACTCTAATTCTGAGGGTTGAATTCATGTGTCCCTGAGTTGGTCATGGGGAGTCAGCATGTGTAGACTGTCTCTGCTCAGTGAATGAGGTGAGTCCTTTTAGATTTGTTTTGGGTTTACCATAAACTAGTTTCTTATTATCAGCCTAGAACATTAGGAAGAAGTGTTTCCAAGTTCATTTTTATATTTTAACTTTGAAGTAGACAAATAATTTGTATTTTTGGAGGGGGGACGAAGTAATGAGAAAACCATGACTTTAGCATGGAGGTTTGTTTTCACTTTAAAACTAGTTCATGTTATGGAGAAAATACCAAGTTCTGTTTTCAGTCCAGAATCTCTTCACTCAATTTTTATTATATAATATGTCTATAGCACCACGGGTGCATCCTTGTAGGAAGGAGGGCAAGAGGGAACTACTAGAGGGAACTTGGGAAAGTCTTCACTTGCCTGTTTCTCAGTGTGGGGATGGACTGATCTTCTAGGGTTGTAGCCAAATCAAAGTGATAACATATGATATTTTTACCATATTTATTCATACATCAACATATATTTTATTTAAATATACATATATATAGCAACCATACTAGGTATTTTTTAAATAACCCTCTCTACATTATTCAATATGAACTTTGAAGTTATTGAAATAATATGAAAACTTTGTTTTAGATAAGATATACTATAGTTTAACATTGCTGTATTTATGAAAACTAATTTTCCCGTTGTGAATATTATACATGATGCTGTAAGGTAGCTTTGAATATACTTTTCTATAATTTGTAAATGTAATTAAGCATCTCTTATAACAGCTTACAAATATAAAATCTCTCACAAATATATCAGGTAGCTTTTATTGTTGTCAGGGTTAAGACTTTGAATATATGTTGCCTAATAGCTTTTCAGAAAAATTTATACCAGAGTTATATCTTTCTGAGTCACTATTGATATTGATCACTATCATTATAATTAATTGAGTTTCTTAATTTGACAAGTAAACATGATGATGGATTTCAGTATATATTTTAAATCTTTTTTTCATTCTTAATAATTCCAAAATTATAAAGAACTCAGAGCCACTGTTCTCAGAGATTTGTCACACTCTTAACAAGAGAACTGCACAGGACTTCACCTGCTGAAACTTTATGTTAGTGATAGACAGACCTAAAATATTAATGTATATAGGATCACAGTATCTGTTGTCTTGAAAGGAATTTGTTACATTTTTCAGGGAACAGGAGTTGATTTCTTGTGGCTTCAAAGTATATCATTGGGTCTATTTAAAACTCCATCAGAATGTCTAAATTAATTCATCAGCTCAGTTTATTGTTATCTAACACATTTCTGCTGACACTTTAAATTTGGTCAGGAGGATCTGCTGCCACAATAAGCATTTAGAATTATTTGATGGCTGTATTTCAAATACATTGTGTTTGACATCAATGTAATATTTTTGTTAATATAACTGTGTGTTTTCTCTCTTATTCCCATTTCAGAAGACACACCAAACTTGTCATTTGGCTTTCTAATCCAGACATATGGTGGAAACTGGGGAGGAGAACTGCACTGCTGTGACAGAGTTCATTCTTCTTGGATTATCAGATGTCCCTGAACTGCGAATCTTTCTCTCCCTGCTGTTCCTTCTGATCTATGGAGTTACATTTTTGGCCAACCTGGGTATGATCGCACTGATTCAGGCCAGCTCTCGACTTCATACTCCCATGTACTTTTTCCTCAGCCACCTCTCTTTAGTGGATTTTTGCTACTCTACGGCCATCGTGCCACAGATGCTATTCAACATGTTAAACAAAGATAAAACCATCTCCTTCTTGGGATGCATGATACAATTCTACTTGTTTGGCACATTTGTAATTACTGATGTCTTCCTGCTGGCCGTGATGGCCTATGACCGCTTTGTGGCCATCTGTAGCCCACTGTTGTACATGGTCACCATGTCCCAGAAACTGCGAATGGTGCTGGTTTCTAGCTGCTACCTCTGTGGGACTGTGTGCTCTCTGATCTCCCTGTGTTTAGCTCTTGAGATCCCATCCTACAGATCAAATGTGATTAACCACTTCTTTTGTGATCTGCCCCCTCTCTTATCTCTTGCTTGCTCTGATGTCACTGTGAATGAACTGTTTCTGTACATTGTGGCCTCCTTCAATGAGATCATCACCATTGTGATCATCCTCACCTCCTACTTGTTTATTCTCATCACCATCCTGAGGATGCGCTCTGCAGAGGGAAGACGCAAAGCCTTTTCCACCTGTGCCTCCCACCTCACAGCCATTGTTGTCTTCCATGGGACAATCCTTTTCACTTACTGCTGGCCCAGTTCTGACAACAGTGAGGATGCTGACAAGGTGGCTTCAGTGTTTTACACTGTAGTGATTCCCATGCTGAACCCCCTGATCTACAGCTTGAGGAACAAAGACGTGAAGGAAGCTCTCAAGAAAGTGTTGAGATCCAAATTACTTTATGAGAAGCTCTTTTCTTAACTAGATTTAGGATTTTTTCAGAGATCTTTAAAGAGGCTTGTTGGAGGGGATGTTAAAGAAAAGTAAACTGGGGAAGGATTTACATGCAGGAAATCTATGTATGCCCCCACCCGTGTTTCTGTCTTATTAAAGCCATGTCATTTTTAAATCTTTTTTGTGCCTTTATTTATTTATTTACCTATATCCACTTACTCATTTATTTAAATATATTGGGATGGCATTGGTTAATAAAATTATATATGTTTCAAGTGTACAATTCTATATGATACATCATAAAAGTATGTACTGGTCACCCCAAAACAAACCACCTTCTGTCACCATATATTTGACCCCCTTCACCCCTTACTACCCCTCCAATCACCATCTTCTTTGGTAACCACCATAGTGTGGTCTGTGTCAATGAATTTTTGTTTGTTTTTCTTGTTTGTTGACTTGTAACTTTTAGCTTTAAAGCCATACCCAATCATTTTTATTGACTTGTTCAGAAGCATCTGCTACCTTTGCTGCTGTTCTCCAACTTCTAATTGCTGTGAAGGGGTTTTTGGAGTGGTATTTTTACACTCAGTTTTTGTTTTGAGACATTATCAATATATTTCTAAGAAAGCATGCACAAAGACATGAGTCTTCATCATTTTTAATGAATGCAACTATTTTTATGAAACTGACTTCGCCTTTTTACATGGCCTGAGTATACATTTGTCACATATTCTATGTTTTTTTTTTTCACAAAAATTTGGAGTGGATTTCCTACATGTTTTTGTGTATTGGGGATAATACTTTTTAGTCATTAATGGTTGTTTTCTTTTTTACTACCCTTTCTTTTGCAAGGTTATAATTGTATAACTTTCCAGACTGGCAGCTGTCAGAGAGGAGGGGGAGAGGGGAAAGGGTTGACTTAATTAAAGAAGGTGAAGGGGTTAGTCAAAGAACACGTACGTCTGACGTAGAGACACAGATGGCAGTGTGGTGATAACCAGAGGGAGGCAGAGCATAGGGCTGAGTGAGAGTGGGCAAAGGGGTGGGGGGGGATGGGTACATTTGTAATAGTGTCAACAATAAAAACAAAGTTAAAAAGACCTCTTCTGCAAAATATATAATAATACTCTAATTTTATTTTATTATTATTTTTTAAGATTTTATTTATTTATTTTTAGGGAGGGAATGGAGGGAGAGGGGGAGAGAGAGAGAGAGAAAGAGAGAAACATCAATGTGCGGTTGCTGGGGCTTATGGCCTGCAACCCAGGAATGTACCCTGGCTGGGAATCGAACCTGGGACACTTTGGTTCCCAGCCCGCACTCAATCCACTGAGCTACGCCAGCCAGGGCTATAATACTCTAATTTTATAATAAAATTTTCATAAAAATTAAATCTGTACCTTAAGTTCTTAGCACAATATATTGTATAACTGATTAATAAGTTATCTGCTGTTGTTAGTTTTTACTTTTGTTTTTGTTCTCTATTTTACTTTAATTTTGGATTAAACAAGTAGTATGCATCTGATACCATATTCTTTTTTAAAGTTTCTATGTCTTTGTTAATTTTTTTATTTACTCTGCCTGAAAGTATTTTAAGCATTTACTATATTTTCTGAATTGATTATAATCTAAACTTATTGTATTAGTTTCCCATGGTTTATGAACAAAATTAGTGCAAATTTGGTGGCTTAAATCACTAGGCCTTTATTCTTTTGTAGTTCGGGAGTTCATAAATCTGAAACCAATATCATCGGGCCACAGTCAAGGCATCAGGAGGACTACACCACTCTTTCATGGGGTCTTAGGGGATCATCCTTTCTTTATCTCTTTCAGCTTCTGGAAGCTGCAGACATCCTTGACTTGTCATATTATTCTTGTCTTCATGCTTAGCTTCTTCAAACCTTTCACTGCTCCATTTTTCTATATCTTCTTATGCATGTATGTGTGTGTGTATATATAAAAAAAATGTTGGCCTCTTTATTCTAAGGATACCTGAAATGTCATTCATATAGCACCCTGATGACCCACAATAATGCCCTCATTGCAATATATTTAATCTAATTACATCTCCCTACAACCTTTCCCCAAATCAGGTGGCACTTATAGAGTCCAGGGATTAGAACCTGATATGTATGAAGGTATATGTTCAAGCTGCATACACGCATTTGTTTAAGTTTAAATCATAATTTACCTTTCCTATGTTTCTACAATTTTATCACTTCATTTTTATAAATCACTTTAATACATCATTTGGTACTTGTTATTGTTAATGTATTTATTAAGATCACACTTAAATACAACACAAGTTCTTATTACTTTAATGGAGAATGGCTGACTTTAAATTAATTACCTGGGAGCTGGTTCAGATCTTGATGAGTGATTTTAAGGAAGATGCTTAAATTTACTAAATTTTGGGCCCTACAGCTATGAACTGGGGATAAACTGCCAGCCTCAAAGAGTTTATCATTGAACTTAAATATAACAAAACTTCAAGGACCTGGCCCATAAAATGCACTCATTTTAAATGTTTCTTAAAAAGAAATTTTTGAGATCAAGGGTCATTTAAAAATGTTCCAGCATCACTGACAAAGACAACTACTCAGTGTTTTTTAAATAAGCAAGAACTAAAATAATAGAGTTATATTCTGCTTATAATTTAAAAATATTCCATGGTTCTGCATTGGCTTTCAAAGAATTTTAATGGAGTGATATTTCTCATATCACCCATGGGAATTTGCATTTTAAGATGAAAGAATTTTTTTTTACCTTTGGTCTTCTAATTAGAACAGGACTTTCCAACCATAGTGTAACAGGGTGCAGCCAAGAGGGGAGCCCCAAACAGGGATTTGGAATAGGGTCCAGAAGAGCTTGGAGATAATTGGCTTCACACCCCAGGGCCACACCTGCCCAGAATGCTGGCAGCTGTGGCCAATTGTGAGAGGAGCTGGCAATGGGGCTTCAGAGGAAGATTAGCGCTGGGATTTAAACGGAGGCACACCAGCCATTAGGGATTTCTCTTTTTGGGACCATGCATCTGTTTAGGACTACGCAGCTTTGGTGTTTTGGTTGGGACCATGAATGAGGCTTGGGTGAGAGTCAGGACCACGAGGCTTTGGAGGTGCTCCCTTTTGCCACGTAGAGGGTGCTGGGAGGACTGTGTGCATTTGTGGGGAACCTTAGTTTGTGTTATTCCAAATGAATGATAAATTCCTTTCCTTTTCACTGATCTCTGGTATTAAGAGACGTCTTTCCTCAGGCGGCGGGCAAAACGAACTTAGATAGGTGGGGAAGAACCCCCTGTAGACTGTAAAAATAGCATTAGTGACATTTTGGGCCAGACAATTCTGTGGGGGTCTTTCCTGTGCATTGTCAGGTGTTTAACAGTACCCCTGGCCCCTACCCATTAGATAATAGAACCACCCTTCCTCACATTTATGATGAGCAAAAATGTCTCCAGGCATCGTCATATCTCCCCTAGAGAGCAAATCCTGAGCCTGAAGTCACTGAGCTGGATGTCACTGAGCTGGAGTATGTCAATATATTAGAGCCCTAGTCTCTCAGAGGAACCTTCAATATCAAACTTCCCTGTATTTACAGCTACCCAGGCACTCACATTTTAGCCAGTTACTAATTTTATCTCTCTCCAGAATCTATGATGTTCCCTTTCAGAGATACTTGATTTTAGAGCTTGAGGGATGCGGAACTCCTCTTACTGTATTTGGTATAGAGGGATAACTGTCGGTATCCATAGCCCACTGAAATGTAGGCAATTTTTTTGTATCTAAAAGTGTATTGCTTTGTTTTATTAGCAAAAGGATGTCACATTATATTCAGCTTCACAAAAACTAAAATGGCCATATTTCTATTTTCTCCCCAATGTTGCTTTACAAGTAACAATCACAGTTTTCTGGGAACAATTGAGCAACACTGAGTGATCCTCAGACATGTCTGTAAAACAAGCACATAATAGTTTCTTTTGTACTTCTTTAAGTGGCTTTATTTTACACATAGTTACTCCGTAACTTGCAAACTACAGAGGTTGATATGTATTTTTCATCCCTTTACTAACTGCATCTCAGATTCCTGGTAGGCACTCAGCCTCTCCCGTCCTTGGTGAGTCTTGGTTTTTGCACCAGTGGGATTTGGTGAAGTGCTCATGGCCAGTTACCAAAGATCCAGTGATGGGTTTCTGAGTGGTGACTAGTGAACTAGTGATTTAAGTATGGGATTTGGGGGAAATTATTGGGGAAAAAAAGAGTATCTTTCTGCTGAGATTAATCTTCTGGGCAGATAGAAGCTTAAAACTGCTCATATCTTTTTCCATATATAATATGTATATTTTCTTCTTTTTTTTTCTCCCCAGTTTTCTTTGTCTTCCTTCATTAGGCAACACATTCTCTCTAAATTTTATTTTCAACTCTCCAGTCATGTAACAAATTTTTCAATCTCCATGTAATTGCTTATGTTGCTTCTAATGTCTTTCTCTCACTATTGGGTACTTGTTAAAATTCTTAATGTTCAGTTGAAATTATCCTCCTTTTCTCTGTAGAATATGTTGGCACAACATAAACAGACACAACACTGAGTAAATGTATGTATGAATATATTTATTTATTTATTTATTTATTTATTATTATTGTTGTTTAAGCACAATCTCTGGTCTGGCTCTTGGATGGCCAGAATTCCATTGCAGCACAAGGCACATATAACACATATCAGAGTCATTGACCTTGTTTATAATTGTTTTTTCAATCTGCATGTTGACTTCCAAGATCTCTAAATCTCAACAACCTAATAGATATATTTTTGCTTCTTTCCCATTTATTTTACCAATCTGTGATATTCTGTTGTTTCATAAATTGCTTTATACTGGCTAAATCAAATTAGATGGTGCTTATTATAATCCAATTTTCTACATAATAATTTACCATTTGAGAGCATATATAATATATATATATAACTATTTGAGAGCATATATATATATATATATATATATATATATAGAGAGAGAGAGAGAGAGAGAGAGACGTTCTTGAGATGTACAAAAAGACATCGCATCCTTTCATTTTTGTTTAATCAACTCAGTAGATAGTGGTGTCCAACTTTTTGATGTCTCTGGGCTGCACTGGAAGAAGAAGAGTTGTCTTGGGTCACACAATAAATATACAAACACTAATGAAAACTGATGAGCATAAAAAAGGTTTTAAGTAGATTTATATTTTTGTGTTGGGCTGCATTCACAGCCATCCTAAGCTGCATGTAGCATGTGGGCTACAGGTTGGACATGTTTGCTCTCATAAATTTTTCCATGGGTTTTGGATATCAGAGTCTGTGTTCCTGAAATATGATGTGAGATCAGAAAACTAATCCCAAGGCCTCTAAACAAAATATAAGAGGACTTGCAATGTGCTAGTGAACCACAGACTTCCTAAGAGAGGCACAACTTTTTTCTATGACCATAGGCCTAGCCAAGTAGATTACAAGCATTTGGCAATGGTCAGTGTTTTAATCTTTAAGTCTCAAAGTCAATTGTTTCAGTAAAATGTGAACTGATACAACAGTGTAGTAAGGTGAGTGAAAAAGATAATGATCTGGTAAAGATTCTTACCTTAATCCCAGTACATTAGAGCTTGATAGGATTTTAAGTGTTTATCTTCTTATAGTCACTTATTTCATGCATAGGAAACTGATGTTTTGAGAAAAAAAATGCCTAGAATAACACAGGTTTTAAATGATCAACAATGACAACAACAAAAAACCCTGAAGAACAAAAATATTGCATGTTTAACATGTGATAATCTTAAAACAATCCTCAGCATTATTGAAGGAGATTTTAAGAGAAATGGAGACATCAAACTATCACATGGAATAGAGAAATAAAGTTCATTACACATAGAAAAATCATAGATTGAATGTCTAGGATATAGTTTGGGATGTGGAGAAAAAAAATAATTTGACATTGTCAGGACAAAAATCCTATTTCACTCAGTAAACTGAAGTGAGAAGCTGGAAACCAGTGCTGATGCCTATAAGGAAACTTCCAATGAAATGAAAGAAAGTAAATGAAAGTAGGCACAGGGTAATATTTTTGAGGATGAAATTCACTTAAATGTTGATATGTACTGACAGTTTATGAAAGAAAGATGATTAATAATAGTAAGAAAAAAGATGAATAGTAATAATAACATCTTAATTGATGCAAAAAGAATTCACTGGTGCACAGCTGAAGAGATTAACTTCAGAGAGGAGGGGCACATTTTCCCCAGAAAAGGAAAGGAGGGAGAGAAGGAATCACTGATGAATTCAAATGCTTATACAATGACAAGATGAGAAAGTAGAGGATATTTGTATTTCTTGTTCTATGTTTTTCTCCACAAAATAGAAATCATTTTCTAGCAGTGAGCAGAAATTAGTAAAATGAGACCTAAAAAGAAATATGAAGGTTTGCAATAGTTATTAAATGAGGGAAACAGCTGTGTATAATATGAAATGTTAAAGAACAATATACATATAATATAAATAATATAGACATATATATCTTAATATTGTGAATTTTATGCAAGTATAAAGTGAACATGTATCAAAAGTTTTACTTGATTCATTAATTAAGCAGTTATTGGTATAAAAGATAATTCAAAGAATTATAAATCAGGAATTCACATATCAATATACAAATAGACACAAATTGACTTTTTCACAGGGGGAGAGGGAAATCAATTGTGTACAAAATGTATGTGTTTACAGTCAAGTATCACTTGAATTGTTATCATTTATCTACAATTTACAGATTTGTAAATTAGAGCAAGGACAGGAAAGGTGGAGATAATTCTGAGAGGTAGATAAGAGAGACTTTTTAACACCTTTTACAATTTTTCACTACAGAGGGAACAGACACATTCCTGGATGTCATTATATTGTCTGGATTGAATTTTATAGATTTGTAAGCATGGGGATTTTTCTAGCTATATTCCATAGCTTGGATTCCAGATAAAATAGATGTCTGGATTGACTCAGAATTGCTATGTTACCAACTTTATTTTTTTACTATTATTTTTGCTATTTAATTTTACTGTTTATGCTATTACAGTTGTCTGATTTTTTTTTCCTCTTTGTCCCCTTCCACACACCCCTGCCCCACTCCTTCAGGCAATCTCCACAGCATCATCCATGTCCACAGGTCATGTACATGTGTTCTTTGGTTAATCCCTTCACCTTCCTTCATCCAGTACCCACCTTCCTCCTTCCCACTTACAGCTGTCTGTCTTTCCATGTTTATATGCCTCTGATTTTATTTTGCTCATTAGTTTATTTTGTTCATTAGATTCCACATATAAGTGAGGTCATCGTATTTGTCTTTCTCTGACTGGCTGATTTCACTTAGTGTTAAGAGTCTTTAGTTCCATCTATGCTGCTGTAAAAGGTAAGAATCCCTTCTTTTTTAACTCCTGCATAGTAATTCCATTTTGTAAATATACCACAACGTTTTTATCCACTCATCAACTGATGGGCACCTAGGCTGTTTCCAGCACTTGGCTATTGTAAATAGTGCTGCTATAAATATAGGGGTACATATATTATTTTGAATTGGTGTTTCAGGATTCTTAGGATATTTTCCCAGAAGTGGAATTACTGGGTCAAAAATATGTTCCATTTACAAGTTTTTGATGAAATTCCATAGTGTTTTCCACAGTGGCTGCACCAGTCTGCATTGCTACCAGCAGGGCACTAGGGTTCCCTTTTCTCCACATCCTTGCCTGCACCTGTTTGTTGATTTATTAATGATGGCCATTCTTACAGGTGTGACATGATATCTTTAGAGCAGAGAAGTCACAAGGTGCTGAGGTTATAGAGGCTGGAAAAGAAAATTTAACATAATGTTTTGAGAAAGGTGTGATTGATTGTTCTTCTACTGTAGATGATGCAACTAAAACTTAGTGATTAATTGGCTTGGCCAAGGTCTCACAACCACAAAATGACAGAGCTAGGAATCAGTCACTTTTATAACTAATTCAGAATCTTCTAATTCACCAGTGGGTTTCCAACAACTCTAAGGAGTTTCTTTGTTCCTCAGAGGTGAAGCCATGTCTCAAGATGAGAACTACTTTTCCTCTACCTACACAAGGTTTCTCCTTGAACAACAATGTTTTGCCTGTTGTGGAAATTAAAAAAAATACAAATAGGAAGAGAGGCTATTTATTCAGAATTTGCTATGTAATAATGGTTAGTTACTATTACTTGACATTGGTGGAATATGAGAGTCAAAAAAGTAAAGAGTGAAGTTTGGGTTTAGAATTCAACAACTGGTTTGATGGTGGTGCCATTTAATGTGAAAAATAGTAGCTTTAATTTTATTAGCTAATGTCACACCAATAAATTTAATGAAAAAGAAATAGAAGTGATAATCTATCATTTAAAAGAATTTAAAAGTCTGTGCATCATACTACATTAACTGTAGATATGCCTAGAAATAATCAGGATGCCCAAGGAGATTTAGAACAAGTCTCCTATTTATTTTGACCACTTTCTTTTTTATTTTTTCAATAATGTGGAGGTTATTAATATCACTATTGTTACTCTGTCACAACCTCAGAAGTCCAAAAGTACTGCAGAGAATGGAGTTGCAGAATGGTACTGTGATGATTGAGTTTTTTTTTTCTCTTGTGATTTAGTGACTATTCCAAACTCCAGAATGTTCTTTTTGCTATTTTTTCCCCATATACTCTGTTATCCTGATGGAAATCTTTGGTATGATTTTGTTTATGAAGACCAATTCCCAGTTGTACACCTCTATGTACTTTCTCCTCTGCATATTTTCCTTCATGAATGTATGCTACTCTCTGCCATTGCCTCCTAATTAATTGTGGACTTGGTTTCCAATAAGAAGACCATTTCTTACAATGTATCTGCTATGCAGTTATATTTTGGTCAACACAGAACCTTTCCTCCTTGCTGCCACAACTTGTGATTGATATACAAAGCAACATGCAACCCACTGCTCTATATTGTTATTATGTCTAAGGGGCTTTCTTTCATACATACATGGCATTATGTGAAGTGAAATAAGCCAGGTGGTGAAAGACAAATACCATATGATCTCACCTATAAGTGGAACTTAATTAACAAATCAAATAAGCGAGCAAAATAAAACCAGAGACATTGAAATAAAGACCACACTGATGATAACCAGAAGGGGGGGATAAATGGGGAAAGAAGGGGGAGGTTCATCAAAGAACATGTATAAAGGACCCATGGACAAAGCCAAAAGTGGGTAGGATTGAGGTTGGGAGATGGGGGTCGGTGGGGCAGGGGAGGGTGGTGAGGGGAAAGTGGAGACAACTGTTTATGAACAACAATAAAAAATAGGGGAAGAGTTTGCAGGAGCATGTATAGAGGAGATATGGACAAAAACAAGGGGTGTTGGAAATGGGAAGGCGGTAGGGAGGGCTGGGGTGGTGGGCTGGGATGGGAGTAAAAGACAAAAAAGACAGAAAACTGTACTTGAACAACAATGAAAATAAAATAAATACAGTTCCAGTTTATTTCACAGATATGCAGTGAGTAAATATAAATAATTACAAATGGAATACAATAGAAATATTGTTTTTATTATTTATTTTTATTCTGTTAGAACTTTAAGTTAATAAATCTTTAATTTAAACTGTATGAACTGGACATTTTAGCTTTTTAAGTTTATTTTACCTAGCAAAATGTTATGAACACAGAAAGGAAAATGAAGTCTTCTCTTCCAGCAGCTTTTGGAAAAGGCCCAGATCCTTTATCCCCCAATTCCCATTTATGTGACTGCTTTATAACTGTCAATAGCACCAGGTCTGTTATCCAGAGCGAGGGTGAGAGGGAAAATCCGTAGGCTGATTTGAAGATTGTGAGGTGTAATATAAGTCTAGAGCTACTGACCGTGAGGATGTCTGCTGACACAATGGGCCAGGATGATGAGAAAGAGAGAATCCAAGAAGACTTTTATATCAAATAATTCTTTTACCTGATTCTTACCAGAGCCAACACCAAAAGACAAGCAGTGCAGATAGATTTCACTTAAGTTAAAGATACCAGAGTAGAATTAAACAAGAGAATTCCCTTTTGCATCTTATTTTAGCCTACAGTCATTAATTTATTCAACAAATATTTTGAATGTTATCCTAGAGCTGAATATTGTTAATAGCAAAGGAAAAACATGGAGAATAAGGTAGGCAAGGACTGTGGCTTCATGAAACTTTCAGTATGGGGCAGGATAGTCCTAATTTATTTTTATTTATGTATTTACTACTTATATCCTTTTATGTGTTAGGCAAGAACATTTATAGGGTGATACTACTACATGGGAAGGAGAAAAACAAACCTAATTAAATCCACCAACCTCCCTTCTTACTGAGCAAGTTCGTTTACTCCATATTTTAAAGAAATCTTAAGAAGGGTCTGTTAAATTCACATGAGGGGAGTGGTTGCTATTTGCATGATATCTCACTGGGATGTACTCATGAACAGAGAAGGAAGGTATGAAAGGTCCCTCTTTGCAAACAGCAAAGTGAACCTATTATTACTTTATCTTAGTTAGGAAAAACAACTAAGATCAATAATGCTCCTTACACTCAATTTAAACCCAGAGGTAAGAAAGGGGAATAATCCAGAAATTTCTACTGGTGAGACTATAAGAATTTATGTCACAGCACTTGAACTTTAGTGCTCAGAATCTTTCAATAAGTGTTTTTGGTTGAGCATACTTTCACCCAGAATGTAATTTAGTGGCAATTGCCTTTTTCAGAGCACCTTTCACATCCTTATTCCTTAAGCTGTAGATCAGTGGGTTTAACATGGGGATGACAACTGTGTAGAAAACAGAGGCTATTTTGTCTGTGTCCATGGAGTAAGTTGAGTTGGGTCGGAAATACATGAACAGGAGTGCCCCATAAAATATAGCCACAGTGGCTAAATGGGAGGCACAGGTAGAGAAGGCTTTGTGTCTGCCTGCGGCTGACTTCATGTGAAGAATGGTAGTTATGATGTAGCTGTAGGAGAGGAGGACAGTGATGATGCTGGAGCCCACAACACAGCCAATGAAAGTGAACATCACTATCTCATTGATGGTTATGTCTGAGGTGGAGAGGGCAAGCAAGGGTGGCACATCACAGAAAAAGTGATTGATGATATTGGAATTGCAGAATGACAATCGAAATGTGCAGCAGGTATGGATTGCTGAATCCACCAAGCCTGCAATGTAGGCAATAGTCACGAGCTGGGTACAGATGCTCTTGGACATGGCTGTTGTATAGAGAAGTGGATTACAAATGGCTACATAACGGTCATATGCCATCACAGACAGCATGAGACATTCAACATCTGCAAAGGCACCAAAAAAATATAACTGAATGGCACACAAACTATATGGAATCCTTTTTTGCTCAGCTAAGAAATCAGCCAGCATCTTTGGAGAGATAGTGGAAGAGTAGCAGACATCACAGAAAGACAGATTGCTCAGGAAATAATACATGGGTGTGTGGAGCTGGGGGTCCATGCTGATCAGCAGGATCATCCCCAGGTTGGCAATCACAGTGATGCCATAAACCAGCAGGAAGAGCACAAAGAGCCCCTGCTGCACATCCCGCCTGCCAGAGAGTCCTAGGAGTATGAAGTCTGTAAACACGGTGCAGTTCTCAATGGCCATCACTCAGGTCTGGAAATCCCTGGTTGTGGAGGAAGGAAATGAGTGTGGGGTTGACATCATAATAGTATTTTAATATTAAACAGCTGATTCTCTTGATTTTTCAGTAACTAGAAAAAGAGATAAGCATAGCTAAGTCTGCTTTAGGTAAAATTATTCTCCTTGAAATGTATCCAATTTAGTATAAACTGGTGAAATGATGGTGGTCTTTGGAAGGTAAAAAGAATTCTTTGTTCCACTGCTATATTGTACCCAATCAACTGTGTTATATATGATATCATACATGACCACCTTGGTTTTGTATGAATATAAAGAAAGTGAAATTGAGGGCACATGAAAGACAGAAAGACAATATATAAGTAGTGTTCTATTGATCAATGTGCAGGATTCGAAACCCTTGACTTAAACTCCTCTAGATGCATCATCAAAAATGTTTTCCATGTAAAAATAAAAATATTTTATAAAGTATACAAAAGTGAAGGATAAAATTTTAAAATAATGAAATAGTTTCTACCACCTTCCCAAATCTATGATTCCATTTTGTTATTATTTCTTCCTGTCTACATATATTTATTTTAATTAAATAAATACAAAACATCTGTATCTACATGGCTTTCCTGGTATCACTGGTGCCCCTAAGCATAATACTGATGAACAATTGGCTTCTTATAAACTCTTTCTTCCAGAAAAGAGTTGTCTGATTCAGAGACATGGGCCATTGCCATATAAGTAAATGACAATGCTACCAAGGAAAACCAGGTTTAGCTAAGGCTCCCTGCTGCACAAAACATGAAAAGATAAGACTGGGGTTGCTAAAGGTATTTCTGTTCTATAAGCAAGGCAGTATTTTGACAGAATAAAGGATTGCCATTTAACTAAATATCCTATGAATGCTTGCTGTATGCTTCACTAGTTTCACAACCACATCTTGAAGATGTATTATATAAAATGAACTGCTAAAGATTTAAATATTAATAATGAAATCATGCAGTTGCCTCCAATCTGAGAGTGAATAATTCTTGTTTCCATAAAATATTTTTATGTTATATATACCTTTTAAAGTCACATACTTCTTTTTTAACATTTTTTAAAAAACAGCAAGTGAATTTTCAGTATGTAAACATCTTTGGACTAAACCCTGAACAACAGCAGCAAAAGCAACAGAAGCATTTCAGAGGCTATCTTTGAGCTTTAACACTAGTAGATGTCCATTATGATAGTTTTGTATATTTTCACTTAAAAAATAACATTCTATCAACTTATTCTGTCACTGACGATGCTACTGCATGTAAGTGAATGAGTGAAATGTTTTATGGTGCTCTTTTAGTTTTACTGAAACCTGAAACACACTTTACAAAACTACCATATCACTCATTTCACTGGTTTGTGGCAGCATTTGTAACCCATTGTAGGACTGACTTTTGCCAAAGGACAAATCCCTTTTCAAGCCAGAGAGTTGTGATAAAAAGAAGTGAAAACAAAATATTAGGTGTAAATTTATCTTTATTTTAAGTTGTCTTTCCATTTAAATGAATATAGGCAGAAAAAATAAATGTTCCTGAGATATATAGGATTCTGTGTTGTTTCTACATCTGCATTGTTTTCATATGTGTTTTCTGATATATGAAAATTTGAATGTAGACAGTGGTCTAATTTTTAATTTTTCTGGAGTTAAAAGCTATGGTATGAGTTAACATTTATGGATATTCTTTAATGTGCTATCTCTGTTCTTATTTGAAAAGGACAAGAGCAAACCTTACATTTACGCATATAGTGATATCTCTTGCACCGTGATAAAAATAATGATTTACTTATCAACCTTGATTAAAATATAAATAAGATGTTTAATTTCCTCATGCTTATAACAAATGAGGTCAGACAAATTTGCACAGGTCTAACAAAGAAATTAGCCATTGGATTGAAAAGTTCATTTAAATGAGAAAACAGATATACAATGATTCATTAACAAAATTCTCAATTCTTGATTCTTTATTTTTCCAAAAGTAAATTTCCCCCCTACATTCTTTCAATTGAGCCATTTAGAAACCTACCTGAAATGAACAAGTCTTTCTGTCCTTATCTCTGGTACAACAGTAGGCAGATTGCATCTTATTTCTACCTACTGACTGTTGGGACTTAAATCTCTAAAGACTTTGCCTCCACTCTCCTGTGTTATGAGGATATGATTAATTAGATTCTGGTTCTGTGAATGCTTCAACAACTTTAGCAAAGGCTGAACTTTGATTCTTCACTGTTTTTACTAAATTGACCAATGTCAGAAACTTACCAGAATTTATTTTAATACTATGCTTCGTGGCTACCATGAATCTACACTGTCCTCCAGTAAAACCAGATGTCTGATGAAATTCAGATGGATCATGTACTTAATAATTTTTATCATCCCCCCATTCTGTACCTTGTTTCTTCCATTTCTGAAACATCTTTTTCACTTCTCATTTAGAAACATAGTAATCTCACCTATTTCTTTTTTATTGGTCATTGTCTGTATTCCTTTCTTGCAAGTATATGTCACCTGCTCTGCTTGCAATGATTTTTTAACTGGGTATTGGTGGGGAACTTTTCCCTTTTTCTCTTCTGTTTTCTTTGGGACAATAATTAAATTGATAAAGGAGAAAAAAAAAACAAATTTAAATTTGTGTGTACAGGAACCCCATACCAAATACAAGACTTAAAGAAGTGACCAAAGGAGGCAGTTTATACACAATTGAAGCTATGAAACAATAAATGTGTAAAGAATTGACAAGACAAAGGAGTTTGGGGTTGGGATAGTGGAAAAGTACAAGTTTTGTTTATACATCTTTCTCAGCTCTAAATTCCCTGTCTCTGGTGATAAGATGGTGAATATAAATCATTGCAAATTGAATACTAATATGAATGCTACTTTGTTCCTAGTTTTTTCTTTTTTTTAAAATGTGGAAAAGTTTATTTATTTATTACTGAATTTATTGTATGATAGTAGTTCATAAAACCGGGGAGGTTTCAAGTGTATGTTTCACAAAAGATCATCTGCACATTGCATCATGTTCTCATTGTCCAAAGTAAATTCTCTTTCAGTTACCTTTTATCCCTACTTTGCCCATATTTACCTACGCCTTCCCCCTTCTGCTCTGGCTATCACTATGCTGTTGTCTGTGTCTATGTGATATATATATGTATAAGGTATATATGTGTTATATAACACACAACACACACACACACACACACACATATACACACATATATACATATATATACTTTTTTTGCTTAGTGCCTTCACCTTTTTTCATCCAGTCCCAAGCCCTCTCCCCTCTGACAGCTGTCAGTCTGTTCTATAAATCTATGCTTCTATATATATTTTGTTTGTTAAATTATTTTGTTCATTAGATTCCACATATAAATGAGAACATATGGCATTTGTCTTTGTCTGGCTGTCTAATTTCAGTTACTTAATAATCCCTAGGTCTATCCACACTGTCACAATTTTAAGATTTCCTTCTTTTTAACTGCTGCATATTATTCAATTGTATTAATGTATCACAGTGGTTTTATCCACTAATCTACTGATTAGCAGTTAGGTTGTTTCCTGTTCTTGGCTATTGGAAATAATGCTGCAATGAACATAGTGGTACATATATTCTTTTAAATTAGATTTCTTCAGATTTATTTCTAGAAGCAGGAATGTTGGGTCAAAAAGCAATTCCATTTTTAATTTTTTTGAGAAAATTCCATACTGTTTTCTATAGTGGCTGCACCAGTCTGCATTCTCACCAACAGTGCATAGGGTCCCCTTTTCTCCACATCCTTGCCAACACTTGTTGTTTGTTGATTTATTGATGATAACCTCTCTGACAGGCAAGAGGTAATATCTCATTGGAGTTTTAATTAGCATATCTCTAATAATTAGTGACATTGACCATCTTTTCATATGTCTATTGGCCAATTCTGTGTCCTCTCTGGAGAAGTGTCTATTCAGGTTTTTTGCCCCTTTTTTAATTGGGTCGTTTGGCTTCCTGGTGTTGAGTTTTATAAGTTCTTTATGTATTTTGGAAATTAACCCATTATCAGATATGTCATTGGAAAATATGTTCTCCCAGTCAGTGAGTTGGCTTTTCATTTTGTTGATGGTTTATTTTGCTGTGCAAAACATTTTAAATTTGATGTAGCCCCATTGGTTTATTTTTCCTTGTTTCCTTTCCCCTAGGAGATATATCAGCAAAATGAGAAATATCTGAGATTTCCATGTTCGTGTTTTCTTGCAGAATTTCTATGGTTTCATTACTTACATATATGTCTTTATTTCATTTTGAATTTATTCTTGTGTATGGTGTAAGTTGCTGGTCTAGTTTTATTTTTTTTTTGCATGTATCCAATTTTTTCAATACCATTTGCTGAAGAGACTGTCTTTACCCCACTGTGTGTTCTTGCCTTCTTTGTTAAATAGTAACTGACCATAAAAGCATGGGGTTATTTCTGTGCTTGCTATTCTGTTCCATTGATCTATATGTCTGTTCTTGTGCCAGTACCATGTTGTTTTGATATCAGGTGGTGTGATACCTTTAACTTTGTTCTTCTTTCTCAAGATTGCTTGAGGTTATTTGGGGTCTTTTTTGGTTATACATAATTTTTGAAATGTTTGTTTTACAACTGTGAAATATGCCATTGGTATTTTAGTAGGAATTGTGTTGAATCTGTAGATTATTTTGGGTAGTATGGACATTTTAATGATGTTAATTCTTTCATTTATTTATATCTTTCCCAATTTCCTTCTTCAATATCTTATAATATTCTGAGTACCAATCTTTTACCTTCTTGGTTAAATTTATTCCTGCGTTCCTTAAATTTTTTGTTGCAATAGTAAATGAGATTATTTTCCTAATTTTTCTTACTAGTACTTTATTATTGTTATATGAAAATGCTACAGATTTATGAATATTAATTTTGTATCCTGCTACTTTGCTAAATTCATTTATTAGATCCAGTAGTTTTTTGGTGGAGTCCTCAGG